GCATCTTATATTTGCAATAAGCATAGCTGATGGAAATATGCGCTTACAAGCCCCCTTGTCCTCCACGGAAGTAATCTGTAGAGCATGCTGGTTAAGCTGGGTTGATTTTTGTCGCTGTACGGATGACGCAGGCCAACAGACGATTGATGTAGCCGTTGAAAGTCCCATGATAATGCTTTGTGTCAATAGAGCGCCCAGACAGGTTCGTAAGCAACTAATAACTCTCGGTTTTGCACGTGACAGCTTCGGTCATCTATTTTGTTGATGCCCCAGTTATGCTCCAAAGAGCCGCCTAAGAGCCAATCAGATACTCCCGCAGATGAAAATAAAACTGCGCCGAATAGAGACGAATTTGATTGTGCTCACGGCGAAGCGGCAACAACACAAAAAAACTAATTTTCTATTTGTTCTCCTAAAATCTACCTGATTCCTGTAATATCCTATAGAGGGATTAATTTACCGAACAAACTTCCAGACAACGGATGGTCGCGACGCATCGGATACACCCCCGCCCCTCCTGTATCGCAATGCATTGACCAATCAGCGGCCGTGTGGGCAGTCCCTGCCTATTCTTGATAATCATCTGCAACGCAGGGCGCCCAATTAGCACGTAACTTCTTCTCACTTGTCACTGTTATATTTAAAAAAGATTATTTCACAGCATTCAGTTAAGGCGAGGCCTCTTTAAAATTGAAACAGAATCACCGACAGGATTTGTGCCCTATAAGGCAATTGATGACCTTTCACAAAAACAGGAGTTCATGCGGCTTCCTGGGGTTTATTTAAAGAGCATTTCCATTGACCAATTAAGGCCGCAACTACGGGAGCATTTGAAAGGTGTGGGCAGTCACTGCGCTAGTAGAGAACACAGCCGTGAGATCTATTTTAAACAGTGTGAAACCATTGACTATGCGCATCTAGCACTGATTTAAACATGTGTAGACTCAGCTGCGCGGAGACGAGCGTGCCTACGTCGGCTGTAAAAAGGTGTGTTTCTCGGTGCGAACCAGCTCTGAGCGGCAACTGCACTGCTGCCCGTTAATGGTCACGGGTACGACTCAAGTCATATCCATTAAACTTACGGGCTAATTAGGCGGCTCGAGTGTTCAGAAAACACCCGAGAGAAACATGCCTTCCTCCCTGGGTCGGCGTACCAATACTGATGTAGGAAATGTGGTGTAGGTGGGGGTACGCAAATTAGCCTGGACCACATGACTTGCCTACGGTTGATCATTTACGTTCCACCAGACGCACAAGTCAATGCTCAGTTCAACTAGGCACACACAAACTACCTTTAACAACGCAGAGGCTTCTGTATAGGCGTCAGAACGGTAAACTGTGAGCATACCGATGTGATGAGAAAACGCCCATGCGCTGAGGGTTTCTCAGTTGTACTACTGGTAGACGCGTTCCATTCTCCGAAATGGCCTCCATCGTGCGTCTTACGGAGACAGGTTGGTGAACACCACAGCCAGATATCCGCGTCCTCACCTAATCGAAGAGGACTAAACCATGTACTGCATTGACTTGAGAGCAAAGCCTTCGGAAATGTCCTACCGTGCCAAAACTCGGCACGGGGTAGAGGGAGACAATTGAATACATTAGTGCACTCGATAGCATACAAATAGGCTAGACATCTTCAGTTTGCAAAAGTAAGAATTCTGGAATAGGAGTCAGACATGCTATTTTTCACCAGAATGAGATTTTATCTTCGCTGACGTTTCAGATAGCTGGGCCGGCTCTCCTCTGTCAAAGCGTTAACTGCCGATACCGAAGTTGTGACTGTACTTGTCGGCAACAATACGCCGCCCTGTGATGCAACCTAAAGACAGACTGCCCCTACTGGAACCCCTGCATTTGTCTACAAAATACGTTGCAACGATTGATAGTGCAATCACGTTGGAAAAACAGGACCTGTCTACACGAAGTGGAGAGTGGACACAAACTCGCGGGTTGCAATACATACTGGAGAGAATGGCCACAAATTCAATATTCAAGGAATGACTAACGTAGGTTGAGGCACCTCAAAAGCGGGAAGAATGACGTTTGAAGCGTAGTACTCAGATTCCGACTCCGCCAACAGGTAACTACAACTCACCACAGCCTACAAACCCCTAAGTCATTACGCGAGTGAAGGACGGGACAAACCGAACTTAAGAAAGGCAATAGAAGACAACCACCGGAAGAGAAGGTAGGATTACCAGCATCATCCACCGTTGAGACGAAGCGTAACACCAACTACCGTCAAATTCTGCCAAAATCCACGAGGGGAAAGGCAGCGAACGAGAAAAAATCGATCAGCCCAAGGCACACAAGTACAACCACAAGTTCAAATTCCTGGTCGATAATGGCAGTTTACGCTTTGACAAAGGAGAGTCGGTCCAGCTCTCTGAAATATCAGCGGAGATAAAACTCGTTCCAGGGAGCACTAACACGTTCACTGAGACTAGACATCGCTCAGTTATCCGCCGCCAACCGAAAGTTACGGGGGCCACAGTATGATGATGATGATGACGACGACGACGACGGCGACGACGAATGGAGTTACGTGTCAGAAGCGTTCAGCTAATCGCCTCCGACGAGCAAACGTTGGCTAAAAAAGAAAATTAAAGCAACGTTTCCCAGGTGCAAATTTAAAGATAGTAATAACAGCAAGAGTTATTGGATCCATGGCATTTCGAGAGAGCCTTCAGTTGCTGCCTCTCATTGCGTAACGTGAATCACATAAGAGAAAATACTAATTGAATTCATACAGAAAAACCGATACAAACACAAGGTCATAAGAAATGACCAAGAGGCTAGTCAATAACATAAGAAGATAAAACGCTATGGTCAGAAAGAACGGGGAAAGACGTCTGAGGTAAAAATTTGGGAGGGGAAATGTGTAAACAGGGAGCCAATGTTACCAAGACAGAATTAGGTTCACTAAATGCTCCAGCTGTTTACATAGGTCGGGTTTGAACTGCCGTATGTAGGCTGCCTCCAGGCATGAGTTGTTCGTGCTCGATCAAGTACTCGGAAAGGAGTTTTGGGGTCAACGGAATGGCCCATGTCTAGCAGATGTTCAGTAGTCGATGACCGGTGAATTATGTTTTCTTGTTTCATTAACCAGCCAGGTAAATGTTCCTTAACTCTGGTAGCCAATTGCCGTTGCGTTCGCCCTATGTACTTGGCGTGCAACGGCAAGGGATCCTTCGCATGAGGAATTGGTAAAGGCTTCCCAAATTTTTACCTCAGACGTCTTTCCCGTTTTGCTGACCATAGCGTTTTAACTTCTTATGTTATTGATTAGCCTCTTGGCCATTTCCTATGATCTTGTGTTTGTATCGATTTTTCTGTATGACTTCAATTAGTATTTTCCCTTAGGTGATTCACGTTACGCAATGAGAA